CGCAACGAGAACTTCGAAATTACGATTGTTTGCAATGAGTACTAATCTACGGTCGCGCGTTTCAATTAATCTGCAGTTACGTGATTGCGGATGAGATTGCGATTCTCCGAGAGTGTGTCGTAAAATCAATATAATTCAGTCACGTCACTCACATCGGCCGGTTATTTGCTACAGACGGACAGGAGACGTTACATTTCAGATGACGCGTTATTCTATCACGGGGGTGGGGAAAAAAATATAGTACCGGAGTAAATATATAGAAAACAAAAGCAAAAGCGCGGGAAAGAGCGCGACGCGGATAATCGGGTTGCAGGGTGTCCCGCTGGCGTCGACTGATTTGATTTCCGGAATTAAAAGAGTATCAAAGGATGGCAAACAACGCGCGCGAGAGGAAACGCGAGAATGTGGGCTCGTACGTTGTAAACGAAGTTGGTCTTTTTAGAATCGGCGTGTCGCTTTAATCCGGCGACGAGCCACGCGCGTGTACGCGCCCGCGTCTGTCCGTCTCTCGTTGCGAAATTAGCGAACGTGTTTTTTCGCGTCGATGCAGAGAAATCCGAGAAATGCACTCTTTCTCTATCTCTGTCTCTCTCGTAACGTCGTCCCACCGGCGATGCCTCTCTCGCATCAGGAAGTCGTAATATTATTTCTCGCATTAAATGAAATCCGCACGACAATATGTTGAATGGAAAAAAAATGCGCCGGTACGCTCAAAGCGGCGCAACGCTCTAATAACACGCGCGCGCATATACACGTGTATACCGCGAACGAACGAGCGCATAGCTCGTTCCGGAATTGGAAATGAGAGTCGCATATTGGCGAATACGCCTATTCAGCCCGACGTGGCGCGTGTTTTATTGAATAGCATCGATAGCTTTGCTTTGCGCCGCGCGCGCGCGCGGCTATGTATGCACGTCCGATGGAAACGGGAGCCGTGCCGGGGCCCCCTCGCTTTCCCGATAGTTTACGACGATCCCCCGTCGCCGGGACGGGAAACAACGCCTCAACAATAAATTTCTGAGCCGCCCGCGATAAATTAGGGCGGAAGTCCGAGCGTTACACCGGATTCGCGCGGTGCGGAGCCCGAGACAATTCACCGAGTTAATTGAAGTTGATTCCTGCGGTACTTCGCCGTCCACCTGCGGGACGTGTCACCTTTCTCTTCTCGCGACCACGATGAGGCGTTCTTTCTCTATAGATCCGGCAAAACATAGTTGGACTGCGATTAGCCTCGGACGAGGGAAAAGTTTCCGCGTGCTATACCTTGATTCCACTATCTATGACTTTCGAGCACAATCATGTATACGATCGTAATGGTTTTTTTTTCTTCTTCTTGATGACTTGTGTTTCTTCTTTAGAGTTTCTCTCACATCCGCTTGAAATTAGCACTGTATATCACTCTTCGACTGGTAACGGCTATACGTTTCCATGCTGCTAATTACCAATTATTCTTTTTGTAGGTGGCTGTGATATTCTAATTAGGAAAAACTGATACGCGATTGTGCGCGCTCGAGAACCGGGGAAAAAACCCAATTTTGAAAATAATGCGAGTATAGACGCGCGTATATCGTGTCAATTTGCGTCCTTGTTCAAGCCGTAATAACTCGAACTGTGATACAAAGTAAAGTTATACAAAGGATGTCAATTGGCTGATGAGAGGTCTGACGATCGAGCCAACGCGAATGCTCGTTCTCGTCGCGCGTCAATATATACGCGCGCATACATACTTAACATGTAAACTGCATATCTCCGCTCGAGTCGGATTCATCGAGCGCTCTCGCGTTTGTGCACTTCGCTAATTAGACTTGCATTATTCAGTCGGATGAATCGGAAACCAATCGGTCGTACGCCATTAATCGCGATCCAGCGATACCATGGCGAAAACGTGGATTCGAGAAAGAGGGAAAGCTCTTTGCGAGGGGGTCGTCAATGTTTAACGGGGTTGACGGGTGTGCGCGCGGTTCCCCCATAAACAATTTTTATTAACCCTCTCTTAGTGTGAAGACGTTTTGTATTCAAAGTTCTGAATAGCACGGCATCGAGGTCGTAAAATGAAAGAGTTGTACCTCGTGTAATGCGTTTGTAGGCATAACCGACGCCGCAAATCTCGCAGCTCTAAAACGCGATCGCGAGAGCATTTTCGAGAGACACACAGCCGTATCTCTGCCGTTTTTTCTCATAACCCGTGCAACGATGCAATCGAGTTAGTCGGGGCACACAGTAAAAACAAGCGTAAGTGCAATTGCATATGGCGCGACGAGGCATATTGCTTTTATTTGTTTTATCGCACGACGCAAGAGACGCGTACGCGCCAACTTATCCCGGTGGTAACTTTGTAAAGTGTGGCCTTTAAAAGAGACAAGTTCAGGGATATTGATTCTATACAAGCTGCACCGTGCGTAAGTGACGCGAGTCAATTAGCTGGAAATTGCGATAAAACTTGTCGTACTACAATAGACTTGAATAGACCAATGTACCTTCCATAATTAAACCTGAAGCGCATTAAAAGAAATCGTTAAAAGAAATGATTCTTTTTTCACATATAAATTGCATCGAAATAAACAACTCAATTATGAGAAATTATATTGTCGTAAATTGTTTTAATTATTAAATTTGTATCGATCGTTAAAAATTAATATTTACATTATAATCCGATGGAATTACGTTATAATCCATTTCGCATCGAATGTTATCGTGTCTTATCTCAGCGTAACGCAGTCATGAAGATTTAAGAACCTGCCGGCTGCAACTCGCAAAATCGCGAGAGGGTAGAATCGTTCGGGCCGTTGCAGAGCTCATAACCAAACTGCATACGGTATTGCATAAACTTCGGGAGTCGCGGTTATGCTCGGCATATACGCCGAGATGGAAATATAAATAAACCTCGTGCCGGATAACATCGTGTGTGCGAGATTAACGATAACCGAGATGTCTGAAGGAGCCACAATAATCCTAACTCACATTCGTTTACACGAGGGGCGATTTCTTATTTCTCTCTCTCGTTCGCCGATCCCGTTCGCATTCGTTCGCTTTTTCTTCTCGCAATAAACCCTCATTTGTCGTAAAACATTTGCCTCCGCACGGTGTAAATGCTTTAGTGGGGGGATATACCTTCGTAAAATAAATATCTTAGGGAAAAGCACATCGTAATTTTCACGTGTAACGCCCATCGCGATCGTTAACCTCGCGCTTTACCACCCGTGCAAATCGGTTACCGATCTAAAATCCTCATAGTGACAGCCACTGACTTTGATTATGTTTGCTCGCCGATGTCACCTCGTAAATCGGCAGTGCGGTTTAACAATCGCGCAAAGTAGGAAAGTAACGCATAAGTACTCTTGAAAGCAGAAGAAATTTTATTGCAGAGCTTAAACCATTCAAAAAAATGGATTTATCTAAGCTTCCACACGAGCTTTATCTTTCTTTCTAAGTGTATTATAATTCAAATAAATGATATTTCGGTATCATCTTAGCATAATATTTTAAAAGCATTACTTAACCGTATACTTTTATAAAAATAAAGTGTCTAAAATTATTCCAAAATGTCGCGAAAGTTTCTATTTTATCTGATATTTTTTTACACAAAATACATTTAATGTATATAACAAAATATTTATATAAGATAATATCTAAGAGTAATAGTTGAGCACAATTTTAATCCAAGTCAACAAGTAGGTTGTACTCCCGTTCTTCGATAATTTCTATTTATTACATTTATAAAGCGCTACTTAAAAGTTTCCACGAAGATGCAGTGCCAATATTTGCGACATATGGCGCGATCTTCTTCCCAGTTGGCGTTCGTAAATGCGAGAGTACGAAATTACTCGTGTCGTTCATTTCTAAATTAAACCTAAAGCTCGTTATTTCTTCTACAGTCCGCGCAAGGATACTAGCCACGTCATACACCGTCACGAATTCATGCAAAAAGCGACACGTAAAGCAATTCAAAGGTCAAGAAAGTCCAAGGTGCATGCATGATACTCAGAAAATGATATTAACTAATGTTCGACGAGTTTAATTTTTCTGTTGCATCACTGATTACAGATTTTTTGTCTTATTTGAAAACTAATTATTCTTCGCCAGACAGTTTTTCAATGTTTTAATTCCAAGAAATTTCTCATTGGATAAATTCTAAATCGATTAAAGAATCTGTAGATGAAAATGTTGATACATAAGAAAAACTTGTACTTTGTACGTTATTTTTTAGTAGGTTTTTAATAATTTGTAGCAGTTATCTTCTCTGTATAATCAATCTACTTTTACATCTCGTTAAAATTTATTCGTGAAACACTGCAATTAGAAACGATATATATATCGTGTAAGTCGTTTTGCACACAGACTATGGAATATGGAATCTTGCCAAAAAAGCTCATTCCTATGATCCCATTTAGATGGCACGAACGACAGATTGATTGAGACGTTCAAAATTATGCTTAATTATGAGAATTTTGATGTATTGATTATCAATTATTATTTGCCATATCTACTGTGACCTTATTTCAATATTAATAGAATACGAGCATTATAGCAAAATATTTCTCCGAAGGAAATACTGTTGTAGAATTATGACGACGTCAGCACGTGCTTCTTTTGTGATCGGTATCAATAATAATCTTATTGCCGCTGGCAGTGTTCAATTAAGTTTTTACGCTGCGCATGGAAGTCTTTAAGTTTTGCGTTTGCTCGTTTTGCAGACGTTAATGCATAATTTTTATCAAATATTCTTTATGTTCTTGCTCTCTTGTACAGAGAATTTATTACTATCTTAATTTTTATTAAGCGGATCAAGTATCTAATTTTTCATCACAGCAGTATTATTTAATAATACAGGGTACATATTGAAAAGACATTTTCTTTATATTGTACAAAATGCAAAAGATCAAACAAATTGCTTCAAGATATAATGACAGAATTCACCTTTTTCGTTTATTTTTTGCGGTAGATCTAAATAATTGTATATAATTGCACATAAAATAATCTAACACGTGATGTAATATTATTTCATGTTAATTCTTTCACAATTATGATCAATGTTTGATAATATCGAACACTTTAGAAACATAAAACATTATTCTTTGAGCGAATATAACGTCTGATCATGGCCATCATTTTATTCTCTTTTATCACTGACCACACTCGTTCTCTCTCTCTGAGATCACCAATCGCCTTTAAATCCACTCATATCCATGTGTCGAGCGAAGCTGAACTCGACGGCGTAAAGCAATATCTTAAGACGTTGATGACATCGTCATCGTATCCTGCATTTTTCATGCCGACTTCTAACCTCCCACTTTCAACATAAAAACGGAGCGAATGTATATTTCCATCGGCGTCACCTCAAAACTGTGCACTCATATCTTGGAAAGACTTTTTAAAATCGCGATTACAAAAATTTAGTATTCTTTAATAAATTCTGTACATTTATTTGGGACAATAAAAGATAAACTGTGGCGAAGTAAGGATATGGGATGTTAAAAATAATAACGCTGTAGGTATTCTGTGAAATACAGTTTTCTAAAATAATTAAAGAAATATTAGTTTTTAATAATAAATATATTGTGGTTCTAAGTTATGATACGAGGGACCTTTTGTTTTTGTCATTGACAATAACAAAAAATTAAAAGTATACATTACATATAAATAATCTTCAAAGTATATCTTTCGAACGTATAACTTGAGGGTCATAACTTCTCCGAATGACGTGAGGTTGTAGTCTATTTATTTAAACTCCAGACCCACGCGATAGCTCGACGAAAATCCTGTCGGCGCCCATGTGCGTGTGCCCCACTACCGTTTCTACGATTGTGTCAGTCTGATTTCTTGTCGGTGTCGGCATCGCCACTCGTGGGATGCTGCCAACTAGCGAGGTTCGCCGTCACGCACGGCCTCAAGAGTGCCGACCATCAGGGACTGGGATATTTCTAGTCTGGCTCCTCTCGCGGACTTAGTATCCGAGTATCGTGTGTGCATAGTGCATCTACGCGTCGCGGCCGAGTGTTTCGCCCCGATATATATTTAATTCGCGTTCGTTTTAATCCTGACGAGCGTCGGGTGTCGTGTCGATTCGGTGACGAATGTGAGAGCCGGTGATATGGCCGAGAGAAAAGCCATAACGCCGAGACGGAAACGGCTCAACGACCCTTCTGGGTCAAGGCCGTCGGAAAGGTCGAATGTACCGAAGGAACCGGCGAGACCGCCGCGAACGAGGACGCAGCAGACCGTATATGTGACGCCGATTAACAATTCCGATTTCGGAAATGGCATGCAACGTAGCGTGTTTGTGGAAGCGCAGCAGAAGCCGAGTTAGTTTGTCAAATAATTTTTTAGAAACGCGATCGTCTCCTCTCTTCTCTCTTGTCGATTGATTCGGTATCTAGTCCATGAGAAACTGATTCGATGTTCCCCGATTTTTCTTTTCCCTTATTTTTCGATATCTTATTTTTGAAATCACTTTTCATGTAAATAATTAATGAAATTGAAAAGTTTTATTAATAAAAACATTTAATAAAATAATAAAATGTTGATTATTGAAATTTTTACGAAATTTTTAGGGAACAGTGATTTCAAACTAGATTTATTTATACGATAGTTGCGTTGATCTTTCCTTTCGTATTTATAAATTTATTAAGAGCCTAGACAGGATAAAAGATCGATGAAAGATTATTATCGATTTCAAACCGACTTAAATAAGATTCATTTGTCTTTAATTACTTTTAATAGTTTAAAGCAGATTTTACGCGAAGCACGAGCATGATAGTGTTCAAAACAGTGACCTAAACGTATCAAAAATTTGCTTTCAGCCGAGAAGGCCCCGATGACGACCCTCGACGAGAACGTGAACCGTGTACCACGACAACAGCATAAGACAACCGAAAATATGGGTGAGTTGCTTTTCTAAGTCGGCTTAAGTATTTGTCCGACTGCTTTCTTCAAATCGTTTGTCCGTTTGTTTCTCCGCCTTTTCTCGTTCGTAAATCGCGTCGCTGATCATAGCCCCGTTGCCCCGTATCGCTGAAAGCCTCCTAAAAATGTAACGATTCCGTGTGAATTTCTAAGCGACGACCGACTTCTTAGGCGCACACGAGAGTCCCCCTTTTCGCGGATAAAATACTTTTCCTTGGTGTACGAGAGAAAACCAACAAAAAGGACTCGTCGCTGGATCAAATTTTTGCGACGGGTTCGCTACGGCCAGTAGCTTTCTCAGGCATCGCTCGAGTTCTATCTGCGATTCTTGCGAGAGATTTGCCCCGAGTTTACAACTTTTCAGGATCGTTCGCAGCAAAAGCCGTCTTGTTCTTTCGAATTCACGTGAGTCCTCGTAATATCTCGGTCGCATATATTTCAGAGGATTCGAAGAAAAGGATGCAGTGTGTGAAAGTTTGTTATTATATCACGGGAAATGTGAAATTTTCTTGAAAACCGTAAAATGCTTCTTTTAAACGCATGAAAGATTGATGTGACACGAGTTTTTCGTTAAATTTAATCGTTTCTTCGTATCGTTGCCCGTGATAATTAAGATTCATTATTAAGCTCCATTGAATTTATCTTAATATAATGTCATGTTATTTTTATATTTATATATTATTTACAAAAAATAAAATAAAACTAAATTAATCTGTAAAATAATCTGGATATTGTGCTCACAACATTATTCTTTTGTTGCTCTTGCCTCAATTTTTTCTGACACTGTAATTAGTTGAATCTTGTGCATTTGCTCTTTTTTCGCCGTTTCTAAATGAGGAATTCATAGCGTTATGTAGTATGATAATATAATGATTTGTACAATTGTGAGATAAGGAGAGCTCGGACGGCAGTGTGTTACTATGTAAACGACGATGACATGAAGATTCGTCGTGGAAGTAGAGAGACGTAGAGAGAAGAAGGAACCATATAGTATAAGTGTGTGGCGTTCGCACGAATATAACTTATAGCTGTTCGTTCGCAATATGTAATTGCTGAAGGTTATATCGATTAAAAAAACGATGTTTCATTGTGTAACACTGTACTGGTCTTGATCTCAACGTTACTCATAATTTAAAATATTCTATGCGTTCGATTTTATTAAGATATTACGTAATTGATACATGAATACCAACAGGAATATCAACCGCATACGTGTATTTCTGAAATCTTCGATAACTTTATAAATATTCAGGACGTTCCTGAAATAGTTTGGCAGCAATCCCAATATAAATGCGATCAAGAATTATTAAGAGATATAATTCGAAGCGATAGATACACTTACATTCACGCGCAAAAATTTAAAATTTTTTTAACAATGTCAAAAGA